GGAGGGCGGGCGGGCGGACGGGCTGAGCGCGGCGGCTGCGGCGGCGCTCGAGCACCGGCACCATGCAGAAGGGGATGCGGCTGAACGACGGGCACGCCGTCTACCTGGGGCTGCTGGCCAAGAAGGACGGGGCCCGGCGGGGCTACCTGAGCAAGCGGAGTGCGGACAACGCCAAGTGGCACCCCAAGTGGTTCGCCCTCCTGCAGAACATGCTCTTCTACTTCGAGAACGACTCCAGCTCCCGGCCCGCCGGCCTCTACCTGCTGGAGGGCTGCTTGTGCGACAGAGCCCCCTCGCCCAAGCCCAAGGACCCCCTGGAGAAGCAGGTCGGTCGCGCGCGGAGGGCCAACCGTGCGGAGGGTGCTCTGGGGGGCGGGGGTGGGGGGCTCCTGTGCCTCCGTGCTCCGGGTGTTTCTCCCCGAGCCCCGGGGAGCCCGTGCGCGGCTGAGGTGGGAACAGCAGCCTCCCGGCTGGGCCGACAGGGCTCTGCAGCTGCTCGCGGCAAGCCCCCTCTCCGTCGTCGCTGAAGCTCGGGAAGGCTCCCGGCCCCCTGAGCCGCCAGCACCGCAGTGTCGCCAGCCCCAGCCCCCCCCCACCCCGCTTCCACTTTTGAAACTGCCAGCTGCGATCTGGATGCACAAATGCCGGGCGGGCTTTCCTTCACCACCCCCTTCCCATCTCCCCACCAAGCCCTCTCTGACCGGTGAATTAAAGTTAAGTCGGACAGGATAACATATCTTGCATAATTAGGGGTAATAATCAACCGTATTAATTAGTCAGCAAGTTGAAGTGCAAGGCGCCCCCGGTGGAGAAAAGGAGAAAGCGGGTCTTCTGCAGTGAAGCCTCCAACCCCCACCCCATGTACGTGCCTCGAGCAAAATTCACCTTCATCAAGCAGGCATTTGGGTCCTGTGGGAACGATCTTCACGGGGGGCCTGGAGATTCAGGACAAGCCACCGTTCCTATCGGGTCAAGAGTGCATGGAGCAAAGAGCCCAGTGAGTGGGAACTTCAGGTCTTCTGCAGTGACTTTGCAGAGCGCTCGCATGGCCCTTTGGTCCTGGGTTTGGCTAAATGGGTTCAGTGGCGACCTGCCTCCTGCGTCTGAGCTGCCTACCTGAGAGCTGTGAGCCCAGTTCTGGTCTGGGCGGTAAGGCGCCTGCCTCCCCATCCCAGCCGTGGGACTTGGCTGCCTCCTCTGGGTGCTATGCTTTGCTCAATCTTTGCCAGTTGCTCCTGTTCACAGCCAGCTCTGCCCATGGGATACTCAGCGCGCACGTCCATAGACTGCTGTCCAGTACTGTGGGCAGTGAAGCCCCCGGGGTGCCTGGGGGCCAGCCTGCAGGTGCCCAGTGTAGCTGGCCCCTTGAAACGAGCCCCCTGTGCCGGTCTCCCTGAGGAGGGCCTCTGCCAGCCAGAGTCTAGGAGCAAGGGTGGACTCTGCAGATATGGGGTGGGCTAGGTTTGGCTCCTGTGGGACTCGGCTGCCACGTTTTAATGCAGGGGTGTCGGTTCAGGTGAAGCACTTGGAAGGTTTGGCCAAGGATGAGGCCAGGCAGCCGCTGCCTATAAGGCCTATAAGGCCTGCTTTCCTGCCCAGAAGAGAATGGCTGTACACCAGCACTTTGCTCCTGGGTTGTGCTTTGCTCTGCAGCCAGGCAGATCACAGGAGCTAGCAGAGGGGCCTGAGAACCAGCCTTCGCTGGCCACCCTTCCTCAGGACTCTCAAGACTTAGGCTTTCTTCTTGCATATATGAGAGAGCACGCTTAGCAGCAGCACTTGCAGCTTTCCAAGTACTCGAAGCAATTCCGATGCATCACGTCAATAATCTTTGCAAAACTCCTGCAAGGGAGGTCCAAAGAACGGCCTGAGATCCCACGATCCACTTCAGCTGCCAAAGCTTACAGTTTGGTTCTGAGCACTGTCAGGATGAACCTGCCTGAGAACTGTCCGCCAGCAGCTCTGGAGGAAGGGAGGGGCAAAAGCAGTTCGCCCATTATGGGGGGGGGAGGAGGGAACAGGCCTGGCAACCTCCTGGCTGCCACCACTGGAGGAGCTCTCCTTCTAGTGCTTTGCAGCTTTCAGTCTGGCTCCGGAGGTAGAATCCACGCTTTCCGGCTGTTTGTCCTCCTGCTGGCCATGAAGCAGCCATGCCCTGTTGGGATATGGAAAGCTGATGTGAATGTGAAGGGGTGTGAATTGGGTTATTTTCAGGCTTTAGCATTGATCAACCTGGCACAGCACATAGACTGAGGTCCATGGGCAGGATTCCTGCCTCAGCCATGTTTCAGAGGATGCTGGTACTGGCTGTTTGGGTTGCGCACTGCTTCGCAGCAAACTCCCAGGAGAAAACCCTTGTCATGTTTTTAGTTTGTGTTGCTTGCATGGATTGACTGATCCTGTCCTTACCCATGGAAAACCAAAGAAACAGAGTGAGTCAGAAGGGGCCTCCCGGGCCATCTAGTCTGTGTCTGAAAACCAACATGTCTCTGAGATGCCAAGGCACTTGTTACAGACGACCAGATGGCATTAGTTCTGCTTATTTCTTGGAGTGTCGTTGACAAAGCATCCATAATCTTGGTCTTCCCGCAGCTCTGCAGATTGCTCACCCAGGTTTAGAGGTGAAAGAGCATTTGAAAGACATTTGCCCTGCTCCTGACTAACATAACAACTAATCTGAAATTGTTTTCATGGAAGTAAATGCATCCATTGCCACTAAAGAACATCAGTGCGGGCCTGTTTCTGCAGGAGCACTGTCAAAGCCAGACTCAGTTTCCCCCTTTGTACATGCAGATGGCTGTGGGGCCAGGTTAGCTGCCATGTCTCCTGGACAGGATGACCAGGAGCCTTCTTCTTTACTGAAGGAAAAAACTAAGGGGTGTAACATATCTCAACAGATGAAGATGGAAGTCTTCCAATATTAGGTAGTGCCTTTCAGTTTCAGAGAGAGAAAGAACAGGCTTTGCTTTTCTAAAAGCAAGAGATGTCCCCTTTTACCTGAACAGAGGAGATCTACCAACAGCCTGTAGGGACAAATTCGCCCATGATTCCATCTCTTCCTGAACAAATGCCCACATCATTCCCAGGTGTCCAAGGAGAATTAGAGCACCTCTACATAAGCTTCTTGGACAAGTTTATATGAGCATAAAAATGCTGGTAGAAACACACACATATCTGCTTCACCCTGAAACATCCAGGAGGGAAGGTGAAAGAGACAGATTAATTGTTATCTCACTTTAAAAATGTTGTTGTTGATGATGATGCTATTATTGACCATCTTGTCAATTATGTTGCTTTGGACCAATAGACAAAATACATTAACTACCAGCTAATGGGAAGATCATTTCAAGGGGCTTCAGAGTTGCCCTGTGGCCTGAGCCCCTGCTGAAGCCTAGAAGGAGACCCTCGTGTTTCCTATAGCGGAAAGGGCTGTTGCATTGCACAGTCGGGGCAATGGCTGCCCCATTCTTTCAGTAGCGATTGTGTTACTCCATTTCTATATTGCCCAGTAGATGTAGCTCTCTGGACAGTTCATAACAGCTGAAATCATAAAATGCAACATGATAAAATGCAGCACAAAGCTTTAGCAGTTTAAAACTACAGCATTAAATAAACACAAACAACAGAATAGAGACCGCAAAAACCAGAAATACAGTAACCGATTATAAAGGCAGAAACTGATAGGCTAAATGCCTGAGGAGATAAACTACCCAGAGAGACTCAGCTGCCACCAGGAAGAGCCCCAGGTGAGCCTCTTGGGGTAGCTCATACCAGGAGGTGGAACTGGGGTGCCCCAGTGGAAAAAGGTGCTGAACAGCTTTTGCAATTGTCCCCCTCATGGAGGTGACACCATAGCCGGAAGTGATGGTGCATTTACTGTGCCACGACAAACCATGAATGACCGCAGAGCTGCAGGAGCCAGAGGGCTTTGGCTTAGCACAGCTTTGGCTAAACTTAAAGGACTGCAGAGCAACCAAATTGCTTTTTCAGATTTTCTGAGAAAAAATGGCAGTCTCTCTGGGCTGTTCCAAAACCCAGGAAAACCCCCACACCCATTGCCCTTGTCTAATGCTGAACCCAGAGCAATCTGTCTATGATCTAAAGCCTCCTTTCCCAGGATATGCTTGTCATTTGTGTAATTTGGGTGGAAGTCTGCAGTGTTAAGCATAGGAATAGCTGAACTGCCAGAGCATCAGCTACTTTTGCAGCTGGCCAGCTGATCTGGAGGCCATCGCGTGGCCTGGCCTGCTGGTTTGCATTCTGCAGATCGGCCGTGGCCCCAGTCAAGACTTGGAAGGGCACAGGGCAGTGGAGGCCTCCATTGTGTGCCTTGTGTTGAAGGAACTCTCGCAGCGGTTGGACTTAGGCTGCTGGCCAGGCCTGGACAGGGGCAGCCTTTGTTAATGATCCCATAAGGAAAAAGCTGTGCCTGCTGAGGAAGGAGCAATGTTTGACCCCACCCCAGCCAAATCAGCCAGGTTGCAAGCCAGTGAAGCTTTGTGGGGACGAGGGTCTTGCGGTGAGGGGGTCTGCTGATGCACCAGGCGAGAGCATCTTCCACAGAGCAAGCGAGGAGCTTTCAGTCAACAAGTGGGACGACACAGCTGTTTGCAGGGAGCAAAAATCGAAGCAGGTTTTTACACTCAAGGAAAAGAGCTGGGAAGGGTTATGCAGCCTTTCGTCAGGATGCAGCCCACTTGCTTAGGAGCGAGTGGAGGTGGAGGAGGAGGAGGAGGCGGTGGTGTCAGGCTCCTGCCCTGCTCCTGCCCTGAGCATAAGCAGAACATGGCAGGGAAAGCTGCTAAATTTAGATGAGGAAAAACCCTTGCTCAGACTCGCCCGGCATGCGTAGAGGTTGCTGTGGAAATTGTCACAGCAAAATGTCCTTGAAGCAGCATGTGGGGAGCGGCAGGGCCCCTGCGCTCGAGAGCAAAGGCTCTGATGAACAGCCTCGGCTCAGTCGCCAGAAGGAGAGGAGCTGCCGTGGAGGGGCCCCGGAGGGGCTGCGCTGCCTCTGCCCTTGCCCCCCCCTCACAGCCAGAGGCTGGGGGCAACCTCGGACAGAGGGCAGCAGGGAGAATGGAGAGGCCAGCTCCCTGCGACTGAGCCGTTTGTTGAAAATCACCCCACAAGTGCATTTCTCCCTACATAGGGGGAAATATGCATGAAGGTTCTGTCTCCTCCCTCCTGCACACGTGGGGAGGAAATGTGGCTTGGGCACTGTTTGGAGGAGACGTCTTGCAGTTGGGGGGCAGTGAGGCTGCCCCTCTTTCCTGTTCTCCTTGCCTTCCTTGTGGAGGAGAAGCGCTCCATGCCTAGGTTATCCCAAAGGTTTGGGAAGGAAGCACGGCTTGGATCCAGGCAAGCCAGCCCAGGCAGCCGAGTCCTTCCATGGACCGGATGGGGATCATGCTTCTGGGCTCCCAGGCTTGGTAACGCAGCATGGGCAGAGCCAACCCTGTGCCCCACTGTGCCCCATGGCTTTCCCAGCAACCAAGGGGGCCCACATCCCAAGCGTGCCCCTTCCTGGAAGAGGGCCTCTGCTCCGCTTTTGCTCTGCAGTGCCCAGTTCTGGATGTTGGTGCGGCTGAGGCACAGATGGTTCTGCTGGCAAAACTCCTTCCCAGGCCGCCGTGGTTCTAGGACATTCCAGCAGAAGCCAGAGCTCGGAGGAGCGGGGACTGCGCGAACCATTTACTTATTTATTTTCAAAGTTCTCCGTTCAGTCTTTAGCCTTGCAGAACATCGCTGGTTTCCTAGGAGACTGCAGGAAAAGAGAGCAAATGAATGGTACAAACCCCTTTGCTGAGCTAAAAGCCTCCCCAGTGAAATTAACACAAATACAGAAAATGCCAAGGGGAGCTAAAAATAGCCTGCGCTGAGCCCCGTGCAGCGGCTGCCCGCCTCAGCACGGTGCCTGACACGCGGGTGCTTGGGGCTGCCGGCAGCATGTCTGTGGGCAGCTCCGGAGAGGCCCTTGGCCAGCCCTGCTCAGGAGGCGGCCCTGCAAAGGTGCAGGTTGCCCCCCCCCCGCAGTCCTTCCAGGAAGCCCTACTGAGCGGTCTCTTGGGGTGATGACATGGCGGTTGGGTGGCCACTCTCGCTCTGTCTCAGAGGCGGCACTCCCCTCCTCTTTTGGGGGCTGACCCCTGGCCTTCTGCCCTCCATATCCTGAGGTTTTTGGCATGGGCTGATGCCCGTCCCTGGGAGCTGTAGCCATATGTGGCCGGAGGGAGCGGACGCAGATCAGGGCCAATGCAAAGGTCATCTGAGCATGTAAACTTGTTATGTGTTCCAGTGTTACGGCCTGCCCTGCGAAGCTCCGGATAATCTGCAGGGTCTCCATGCCACTTCCTACATGAAAATGACTCCCAAGCACTTTCCCTGTATTATGGTGAAACCAGGATGAGTTCAGTGGGAATCCACTTGGTTCTCTTTGGGCAGAAAATTATGAATAAAACACCCCTGTTTATCTTTATAGCATTACTTCACTGTTAACTTCAACCATGAAAATCAGAAAACTCTGGAGCTGAGGACAGAGGACGCAAAGGACTGTGATGAATGGGTGGCCGCCATTAGCCACGCGAGGTAATGCCTTCTGGCAAGCCGGACTAGAAGGACGCTCTGGGGGGGGGGGGGGCAAGGGGCAGCCTCAGAAGCAGCTTTCCCAGAGGAAAAATCCAGGAATACGGCCTGTCAGCGGAAGCAGACTGACAGGGAGGAAGACCGGGTGGGAGCGGTGGCTGGGGTTGGGGAAGGACTTCCAGACACCAGAGAATTGCCCCCTGGGTGCAGAAAGGATGAAAGCAGCCCCGTGCTTGTTCCTGGCCCGCCTTCAGAGGAAGAGGGGAACAGCTTGGCTCCGGCACGCCAAGTTTCCCTGGCAGCCCCCCAGAAGCACAGAGGTGCTCCAGTCCTAGGATTCCGTATCCTAAGAATTGCTTATTTTATTTATTTATTTAGAACTTTTATATGCTGTCCTATATGTGAGACATCTCAGGATGGCTTACAATATTAAAATCAGAATGCCCTAAAACAATCAATTGCAATAAAATAGTTAAAGAGGAAAGCAACATTCCAGGCCTGGCAAATGTGTGTGTGTGTGGGGGGGGGAACCTGGCAAGACAGGGGCCACGGAGGCAGCCAAAGGGGGCACAGGGGACCAGGGGATGGGCAGAGACCCGTTTCCTTCCCTGAAGCCAGCAGAGACACCAACCCGAACCCTCTGCAACCCGAAGCCATGCAGTGGGGCCTTCCCACCGAACTGCAGCAGCAGCAGGGCGGGTGGCCTGGCTGCAGCAGGGGGGTTTGGTAAAAGGCTGCAGCTGCCAGTGACACCCAGGCCGGGCCTTTCCCGGGAGGCTGCTAACCGGCACAAAGAAGCACCTGCAGCCACCAGAGTCCCTCCAATGACCACCACTGCTGCCAGGGACAGCCCTGGCCCCAGGTGCAGATTCAGCGTGCGCCCAGTTACCTGCGGGGAGCAGGGCAGCAGGGGCGTGTGAGCCACACCTCTTGGACCGTCCCTATTGCCCTGGCAGGTAGGGCTTGCCTGGGACCTCAGCCTGAGTGGGATGCAGGCCTGGCAGGAGGGCAGATGGGCAGGGAAAGGTGCTTCAACCGCGCCTCTGTCTAACAGCTACAGGACCCTGGCCACCGAGCATGAAGCCCTGATGCAGAAGTACCTCCACTTACTTCAGATTGTGGAAACAGAGAAAACAGTTGCCAAGCAACTTCGGCAACAAATTGAAGATGGGGAAATAGAGACAGAGCGCCTGAAGTCTGAGGTAACAAAGCCAGTCCGCTAAGCGTGCGGAGGATGTTCCCAGCAAAGGGCTGCCCATTTCAGGTGCCATGCAGTCATCGTAACATTCAGAATGTCCTATTTGCAAAATGCAGAGGCCAAATGCCTCCACGCTGGTGGAGTTCTGCCAGGAGAAGCTTCACATTTGCAACAGACAAATGAAGAACATGACAATGAGGGTGCCTCCGGGTCCTGAACCGGCACGGGGAGTCCATGTACAAATGTCACGCCATGCATGCAGGCTTTGAACACGTGACCTGCCTCTGCTGGGAAAGAGAAGTCTGAACAGTGCGTGAGAAGGCCTTGTCTGTCAATTAAGTGCCCGATGATGACACATTATCAAAGGATGGATGCACTTGAGGTGGATGCTTGAAGCCTTGTTTGGGTTCCCTGCGGGGGCAGCAAGCGGAATTGTGGCAGCTGCACAGGTTCTAGATCTGGATTTCAGGTGGAGTTTGTTACCCAGTGCCTGGAGATGCCCTGGGGCACCACTGGCGAGAACACATTTCCAGGTTTCAGCCTGGAATTCCACAGTACAGAGGTAGGAAGGGCAGTGGTAATTGTGTGGCTTAAAAATATTGAGCAATCAGTGATCCCGGAGCCGTTGAAGGGTTAGCGCTGAACGAGCGAGCGTGCCTCCCGGAATTGATCCGGTTGTCCTTTGCCTTGCTCCTCCACCTCCACCTCAAAGGGGGTGTGCAGCCCAGTGGCCATGCAGAACAGGGCCTGGAGCTCACCCCAGGGCGCTGCAGCTCTAGTGGGGCTGACCCAGAAGTCATTCTGTGTTCTTCTGAATCTGATCTATTCGAGCACAACTCATGATAAATACATGGTGCGACTTCAGAGCCAGTCCAGCCAGACCTGCATTTGGCAGGCTCATGGGGAAAGGCCACTCCTTAGGCATTCCTTTCCTGTCCTAGTATAGCTTCATGAGGCACCGGCTGCGCCATGGGGCTGCCCAGATGCTCGGTGGCTGGCAAGGCGTCCCAGTGCTGCATCTGGTTGCCAGGAGCAACCGTGGCATATTCAGCAGGCTGCAGTCGCTGGCATCTCTGTCGTTATGGCATTGGTCTCCTCCTCTCCAGTTATTTGCATGCCTGCAGCCGATTGGCTGGGGAAGGGGCTTTGTCTTGCTGGCTGGGGGATGCTGGGAGCTGTAAGACTTTGCTTTCTGCCAGAGCTTCTGCAGGAAAGCACTCCCCCTGTGCACTTGGCAGCATCTTCACACACATTCTCTTCTGTGGAGCTGGTTGCAAACAAACACAGGGAAATGCTCACCCCAGAGCCTTGGAAGGTACCCATACCTTTAAGAGGACATTTTCAAAAATCTGCATCAATGAAATGGCTGTATTAGGTTCGCTCAAAGATCTCACAATCTTATGCAAGCTTTCACATTCTCCAAGCACGTAGTTAGACAGGACCGCAAGGCATCAGTGTGTGGGGACAAACGTACTTTAAATTTTCTGCACAAATTTAAGCAGATAAAGTCTTGGTGCCCAGCACCCAGGAGACTGTCCCCATGGGATTAGCGTGTTCGCTGCTGGAATGCTACATGCACATGGTCCTGGTTTTCACCTCATATTGGGTCGCCTGGATCCGCAGCTAAGGAGGACGCAGCAGGTCCAACGGAGCAGAATGCTGCTTCTCGGGAATGCTGACCAGGTGTGAAATGCCTGCCTGCCTTCCCCTCCCCAGCAGAATTCACGTCTCTTTGAAAAGGCTGCAGGACTCTGGGAAGAGGTCTGCAGGGGTCTGGCAAAGCCCAGGAAAGGCATTGCTCCCTCTTTCAGCCCTGGGCCCTTGTGAGAAATGTTTCATTGGAACGTTCTCCTTTGTCAGCACATGCAAACTTCGGAACTTAACGGAACTCTGTGTGTGGCGGAGGAGCTGTGTGCAAACTCCACCTTTGCTGCTACATGAGTAGCCACAGGCCCAGTCCACTCTCCTTCTGCCTCGTCCGCCTTCCCTCCATGGCGCACCCCCGTGGCAGCTGTTGTCAATCCTCTCTTGCTCTTACCAGGAAAGAGATGGCAACGTCCCCGTTGCACAAGGACGAGACATGACTGGCCTGTGGTGGGTCTACGCCATGCAGCTGCTTTCTGTCCCATATCGACCACTGGCTGACACGTGCATCTGTTTGCCTGTTCTGGGCATCGCTCACTGCTGTTCACAGGGCTTGTTCCCCTGTTTTCTCTTGTCCTCCCAGATTGCCGCCTTACTTAAAGACAACGAACGCATCCAGTCCAACCAGACCAGTGCCCCGAATGATGATGACAGTGACATCAAGAAGATCAAGAAGGTAGGCCCCAGGGTGCCAGAGCCCTTTCAGTGGCCCATATGCCCACCTGCCTTCTGGGTTTTGTGCTGTCTGGCCTGAGCAATAGGGAGTTCCAGGCAGTGCCTCCATCATGCTCCATGGATGGGCACCTGTGCAGGTGAGAGAGTTATTACCGAGGGGCAAGGAAGCCCACACACAGGGGAGCATTGCTTGGTGTGCGGCTGCAACAGGCTGAATCATGTTCCCTCGGAATCCCCTTGGGAGGGAGAAGAAGTGGCGCCCACCACGTCCCAGGTCTTTGGGAAGAGCTGTTATTCATCTTTGCTAAACAGAAGTGTCACTTCCCACCAAAAAGCAGCCTAGAAGTGATAGACACACAGGGAATGCACAAACCTGCAATGAGCATAACATAAAAAAACCCTAAAATCAGTGCAAACCATGATCCTCATAACTATATAATTAAGAATAATCACCATAAAGTGAAAGCTGTACAGGTTATGACATGAAAAGTGTTCATCTGCTGCCCCAGCCCAGCCCACAAAAACTGGGCCACGAATACATCCAAATGCCTGTGACGATGGGAACACCTTTGCCTGGCATGGAAAGGGATCGCACATGCAGCCTCTGCAGCAGCTGCCATGAATGCCCGGCCACCCCATCTGGATGGGCTGGCAGCTGGCCTGTGTGCTGAGCCGGCCGCCACACAGAGGTGGCCGGAGCTTCTCCCGGCCGCAGGGACCCCAGCCTTGCAACCTGCTGCAGTCAAGCCTCAGGTGGGGCTCAGGTGCAGTAAGCCTCCGCTATCGATCCAGCCGTTGTGGAAAGCTGCCTCTCCAGTTCCCTGCTCTTGGCATCTTGCTTCCCTAGCCTTGACTTGGGTTTGGATTCCATGTTACTGAGCTTGGGCTTCTGCCTGACAACCGCCTCTGAGATTTGGATTCTTTTTGGCGATAGCCTTTGTGTTTGACCATGGCTCTTCTCCAGAAAGTCCATGTTTGCCCACTAAAACTGTGCTTGAATTTTGCTTCCCCGTCTTCCCTGTTGTACTCAACCCTGTGTTAGCATGGCAGAGCTTAGAAAGTAGGACAAACAGGATGATTAAACACGCGAACAGCTAACAAACATGTCCTCTAAGGAGGAATTTGCAGCTTCTAGGAGAGGGAGGGATCCATCGGAAGCATGGCTGATGAGGGTGAGAAAGCCTTAGAAGGAACGTCGTTGGGGTGCTTTGTGTTTGCTGAAGCAGGTGTCCAAGCCCCTGCGTTGCTGCTCAAAGGCGCGCTGCACGGCATCCTAAGAGACTGCTCTGTGCACAGGTCCAGAGCTTTCTGCGGGGCTGGCTGTGCAGGAGGAAGTGGAAGACCATCATCCAGGACTACATCCGCTCCCCCCACGCCGACAGCATGCGGAAGAGGAACCAGGTGGTCTTCAGCATGCTGGAGGCCGAGGCCGAGTATGTCCAGCAGCTGCACATCCTGGTCAACAACTTCCTGCGCCCCCTGAGAATGGCGGCCAGCTCCAAAAGGCCCCCCATCACCCATGACGACGTCAGCAGCATCTTCCTGAACAGGTGGGGGCTCGTCCGGCTGCCTTGGACGTGCCACTCCTCACAGGGCTTTCTCTGCAGGGGAAGGGCGAAGGTGGCGACCAAGCTCAGTGCGCCTGGGGGAGTCAACACCAGCTCCATTGCGCATAAGTGAACTCCAGAGGCCACGGCAGAGCAGTGCTGTGCACCGTTTTTATAAAAACATCCCGCGCTCTCTGAAGCTTGCGTACCTCTTGAAAGTGCTGCGTGCCTCCGCATTTCTCCTTCTGAAGGCATATGCTCATTTGTAGCCATCGATGCAAGCTAAATAATTGGTATAACTCAAGTAGAAATATTGTCCATCCCACCTGCGTGAGGGTGATGGTCGCCAGGCAGCCTAGGCAATGGCCCAGTCTGCTCCAGTATCCACTGGGAGGCAGCCTTCAGTTCCCACTTCCCTGGTCTTCCGTGCTGGTTTACACAGACTTGGACTGGATGGCTCTTGGCCTTGACGCGCTGTGAATCAGAGAGTGGGTGGGGAGAACTGCTGCCAATTTAATTCAAGGAGGCAATGGCGATTGTAGAACTGGGTCCTCAACAGAAGGGAATGTGTCAAAATTTTGAACCAGGATCTGGGTGGGAATTGGGAAATTAACTGGCGGTGCCCTTGGCTGGTTTTTTGGACCAATGCTTCGTCATTTTTTTTGGTAAAGAATCCATTTTAATGCAAAAACTGCCATTGCAAATTAATCAAAACGGACAAGAACCTACTTTTAGGGAATGTTCTAGAGGTGGAGCACAAATTAATCAACTTATTTTGCTTGGGTGATTTTGATGAGAAGTAATTGGCTATGTTTGCACCTTATGAAATTGAAGTGAATTTGAGTAGGTGTTTCTGAATTTGCACACTTGTGTGCGTGCATGCACAACTCTTCTGTAGATGCTTCTCCTTTGAGCCTGAGCCACGAATGGTGGAACTGAGGGCCGAATACCCTGCTAGAGACACCACACCCAGGGACATTCTGCGTGAAAAGTTGGAGCCCCAGCACCTCTGACCTCCACTCTGTCTTATGTGGCTTTCTCCCTTCCTTCCTTCCTTCCTTCCTTCCTTCCTTCCTTCCTTCCTTCCTTCCTTCCTTCCTCTTTCAGCGAAACAATCATGTTTTTGCACCAGATCTTTTACCAGGGCCTCAAGGCACGCATCTCCAGCTGGCCGACCTTGGTGCTGGGTAAGTGGGAAGGGCCCATCCAGCATGGTTTCTTGCCAGGGCAAGTTGCAGGATGTTTGGATGTGCCCCAAAAGTAAAGCGGTCCCATTTGTGCCACCATTCTGTAAACAAAAGATGGGGAGGAGAAGAGGTGTGCATGCGACAGATTCCGTCATTTGCTTGTGGGCCTCACCTGGTGCTCAGCCTCTCACCAGCCCCCTCAGCCAGCAGCTGCTGCCTTCTCTTCCTCACCTGGACAGTCTGTCTGTCCACCTGGGGTGAGCAGCTCCTTTCCTGCTCCGGGAATTGCCATTAAGTCCCCCACAACCTCCTGGGGCCTCTATGTAGCTCCCCATCCCATTGGGCAGGGGTAGATTCTGCCCCACAGCAGCTGCTTCTCACCAGACCTTCCTCCTTGCAGCCGACCTGTTTGACATCCTTTTGCCGATGCTCAACATCTACCAGGAATTTGTCCGCAACCACCAGTACAGCCTGCAGATCCTGGCCCACTGCAAGCAGAACCGGGACTTCGACAAGCTGCTGAAACACTACGAGGCAAAGCCCGACTGCGAGGAGCGGACGCTGGAGACTTTCCTGACCTACCCCATGTTTCAGGTGGGGCGCCCCTGTGGGGGCTTAGCAGCGTGCCCTGAGCAGTGGCAGGCAGTTCTTCAGCCAAGCAGGTGCTGCCAGGGAGCCACCTGCTGAGAAGTCCGCCCAAGGCGGGGGGGTGGGGTGGGGGGGGAGGGGAGGCTAGCCGGCCAGCGACGTGTGCCTTTTGCGGAGGATCTGAAGTGTCCCAGGCAGACCTGAGCTGAAGGGCAGGCAGGGCCTGGGGGCGTAGACTGCCTGCGGGCCTCCGCTGCCGGGCCCACATGGGCTGCTGGGCCGGCACGTCCTCTTAGCTGCCTTCTCTCGCGCGTCTTTCCCAGATTCCCAGGTACATCCTGACTCTGCATGAACTGTTGGCCCACACGCCCCATGAGCATGTGGAAAGGAACAGCCTGGATTATGCCAAGTCCAAGCTGGAGGAGCTTTCCAGGTTGGGGGGTCAATTGCTAACTTCGGGGGGTGTTGGTGTTTTGGGGGACTCCCATCCTCAGTGCTGGCCCGGTGCCCACCAGTTCCCACGTGGGGCCTGAGGGCCAGTCTGAGAGGAAGGCATGGCTCGCCTGTGGGCATCCTCCCCACTGGGTGGGTGTGACATGGGCACCCGGCTTCTGCGAGGTTGCGGCAGGGACCCCGCCTTTTCCCACAGCCGGCCAGAGAGAGGCAGCCTGGCGCAGAGCGGAGTCCTTCATGGCGGGGAGCACTGGAGGTGCGCCAGGCATCTCCAAGATCTCTCCATGGCCAAGAGGGCTGGATGCCTGTTTCTCCTCTGGCTGAGGCTTCTGGAACGCCGCACCAGCACCCATGGCTCATGCGTGTGAGGAAGCGAACCGTCATCCGACCGGCCGACTCCCCCTCACACCAGCCGCTTGCATCATCCCCAACAAATGCCAAACGGCTTATGTTTTTGGATAATGATCAGTTTGGGGATAATAAGCTGCCATCTGCACCTTGAACAGACACACGGTGTACGGGACGTGTGAAGGGGGAAATGACAAGGCAATGCACGTTATTTTAGAAATGCTGAGAGGTGTCTTCGGATGCATGCCAGTAAGGGAAGACGCAGCCCGGGCAGCTTTAAGCCTGCTTGAAATGACAGGCATCTCGGATCCGAAGAGCCCACTACTGTGGGTCCTCTGCCCCACACGCCCCCCTCCCCCCTCTGCTCACCTCCAAGAAGAAGGCCTGAGCAGGGCGGTCAAGCCGGGGGTGGGGGTCCCAGGATGGGCAGCTTTCTGGGTAGTGGAGCTGGGGGGGGGTGTCCTCTGCAGATCTCCATGGAAACCCCCCCACACACCCAACTGGCCTTTCTCCAGCATTTTGCCGTAGACTGGACCAAAGACTCCCCAGGAAATCTGTTCAAGCTTCGGGCCCGTTTCTGCCCGTGGGGCATTCCCCGCAGTCACAGGGCCAGCTGCTGTGTGCCCGCGGCTCAGCAGGCGCCCTCTGAGCGATTCTGGTCTCCCTTGGCAGGATCATGCATGACGAGGTGAGCGACACCGAGAACATCCGCAAGAACCTGGCCATCGAGAGGATGATCGCCGAAGGCTGCGAGATCCTCCTGGACACCAGCCAGACCTTCGTGAGACAAGGTGGTGCACCTGGGAGGGGAAGGGCTGCCAGGCTGCCTCGGGGGCACACACAGGGCAGCCCCCGGATCGAGGAGCTGGGCCGACACTCCCAGCACCCAGAAAGGGGCAGTGGGACCAAGCCCCTTCCCCCCTCTCCAGTCATGCTGAGGCTGTTTCTTTGTTAGATTGATACCCTGCCTTTTGCCTTTTAAAGAGCTCGCACCATTCTCTTCCTCCAGCACTCAATCTTATCCCCACAACAACAACCCTGTGAGGCCGGCTGGGCTGAGCGTCTCTGACTGGCCCCAGGTCACCCAGTGGCTGCCATGGCTGTGTGGTGCCGGCGCCTGGACCGTCTGAGTCCCTGTCCGCACTCCTAGCCACTGCCCCACGCTGCCTCTGGCTGTGACCCCAGCGGGTTTCTGGGGCAAAATGCCCACGCTCAATGCCTTCTCCTCAGCTTTGGAGCTGCCCCTGACCTCTCAAGGGTAGGCTAGGCGGTTGCAGTGTTCGGAGATGCTTATTTCAGGAAGAGCTGAATACATTTGAGAGAAAGCTGCCCTTCCACACTGCCTTCTGGGATGCTGCCAGATAAGAAATGTCACCTTGACATTAGCATATGAATTTCATTCTCCTTCTGTTCATTTCCCTGGAACAGCTCCCTTTTTGGTTCCCATCAGTTTTTTAATGCCTGCACCTGAGGAATAATTCATACCCCTTTCCTGGCTGTCTCTGGACTTCAGGCAGCCCCCAAGAAAAAGATGGAAGGCGAAGTGGGGTTTGCCCCCCAGCACCGCCTTCAAGGGAAGATGGGCGATGTGGGCCGTTGTGAAGGCCTGAGTCTCACCGCGTGCGTGACTCCTCTGGCAAGGGTGCCGAGGACGAGCTCTGGGCGGCGCTTCTTCCGCAGCGCTGAGCTCGCCCCCTCCCGGCTTGGCAGGCCCCCTTGGTCTTCCCAGAGTGGAAGAGCCTGGCAGGCCTGCTCATGGACCACCTGCCCATCTACGACTTTCATTAGTGGGGGGATGCACATGAGGGGGCTCACTTCTGCACCCCTGCTTGCGACCACCTGCTTGGTCATGGCGGGTCCTGGGAAGCCACGGGCCCCTCTGCGCTCCGGTCTCCCAATGCCGCCGCTTTCCTGGGTGCCCGCCCCCTGCAGCTCACTGAGCCCCCCGAATCCCTTGCTCAGTGGGGGAGTGCTCCGACCCGCCACCAGCCGGACCCCTCATCCGCGGGCCCCGCTGAGCCGCGCCTCCCTCCCTCCCTCCCGCCAGGCTCCCTCATCCAGGTGCCGATGTCCGAGAAGGGGAAGATCACGCGAGGGCGGCTGGGCTCGCTCTCCCTGCGGAAGGAGGGCGAGAGGCAGTGCTTCCTCTTCTCCAAGCACCTCATCATCTGCACCAGGGGCTCCGGCGGGAAGCTGCACCTGACCAAGGTGAGGGGAGGGAGGGGGGAGGAGCCCCGAGCAGCTCCGCCCGTGCAGGATCGGTGCGGGGGAGCAGGGCCCCCCACGGGAGGCCCTGCCCGTTCTCGGTGGAGGAGCTCATCGCGCCTCAGCCTCCGACAGGTGCCGACTCCTGGCCCTGGATCGGCTGGTCCAGGCAGGCGTGGCAGGGCGCAGCCCCTCGGAGCTCCTCCCGCGGCGCTAGGGGGCGGTGCGGGCACGGGCAGCGCCTCCGAGCCAGGCCAGGAGGCCACGTGACAAGCGCTCACGGCGCGCTGGCTGCACACGCGCTGCGCTCCGGTTGGCACTTGTGCACTACTCTGATTTTCTGTGATTTGCCTTAGCAGCAGCCCTCGGTCCTTGTGGCCCTGGCAGTCCCTGCTGGCCCACCCCCAAAAGTCACGCGATGCCCGAGAGCATCGTGGCGCACCCAGCAGATTAGCCACCCCTTCTGCTCCGGAGCTGGTGCAAAAGAGCGCTCTGGGGGCTGAGCAGGGGCACCACACCCCCAGGCGAAGGCACTTAGTGCTGCACTGAAGCGAGGACGTCTGGCCGTTTGGGAAACAGCCCATTTATTTCTTTGCAGCCAGAAGATGCACGTGCTTGGCCCCCGGAATCCACTTTCCTCTTGTACTGAATAGGGCACTGCCCTTCCTGCCCCTCTTGTTTGGCTCTGAGGGGTGCAGGAGGTTGCCAGGAGGAAGAGAGGGCAGGTGGGGGCTGCATGGGGCAGAGAGGCAGCAGGGCTCGCCCAGGGACGAGGCTCGGCGCCTTTGCGGCCACACAGGGGGTCTCCCGCTGGGCCACGGAGGCCTTGTGCAGCCAGCAGACACCAGAAGGCAAGCCGTGTCCGTGGCTTCCACTAAAGGACGGGGCCCTCGTCTCTTCCAGAACGGCATTCTCTCCCTCATAGACTGCACCCTGGTGGAGGAGACGGAGAACACCGACGAGGACAGTACGTACCTGCCAGAGTTCAGGGAAAGCCTCCAAGGGGGACTCCAAGCTGCCCAGGGGTTCTCTGGCCCAAGCCCTGCCCGGATCTGGACCTTCTTAGGTTCAGCATAACCCAGGTTCTGCAGTCAAGTGTGCAGTATTGAAATCCTAGAAAGACTGGATGTTGCATGTAAGAGAAGCTGCCACTCCAAAATGGGTCTCATGTCCCGCAAAGTGATATTCAGCATCCAAACTGGTTGACTAGAGCTCTCCCACCTGCCAGCTCATGCTCCCAAACGCTCTCCCTGTCTTTCTTCTCAATTATGGACCAAAAGGATCCGGGCAAGACATTGATCACCTTGACTTCAAGATTGTGGTGGAACCTAAAGATGGCCCATCCTACACAGTCATCCTTGTAGCATCGTCCAGGCAAGAAAAGGCTGCGTGGACCAGTGACATCAGCCAGGTAAGGAGTGGTCACCACACCAGGTCTGGGGGCCATATAAGCAGCCTTCCCAACTCACGATCTCTAGGGCTAGTACAGATTGCAAGCCATCTACTGAAATCAGAGCATGAAGATTCAGATTTGACCATTCAGGGGCTAGACACACCTAACACCTGTGCCCAGGTAACACATAATTTCCTCCAGCAAAACCGGCACTGAACTGATTTTGACCTCGTCACTGCTCCCCCTTCCCCTCTGAGGGCATCCCTCATTCTCCCTACACTTATCCGCTATGTGTTTCAGTGTGTAGATAACATCCGGTGCAACGGCCTCATGATGAACGCCTTTGAGGAAAATTCTAAAGTCACAGTTCCCCAGATGATCAAGTAAGTGCCTTGAGACTAATGGCGCCCCGGTCAAGCGTCTGAGGCTATAGGGGAACTTCTGCTGTCGCATGTTGCCTGACCCCAACTTGCCAGTGCGACGGCCTGTAATCCAAGTGGCACAAGCCAAGATTTTTCGGGACCATTGTCTCACACTGGACAGCTTGGGCCCACCAGACTGGGGTGTGTTATAGGACACCTCCCTGTGTGGTCGGGCTCTCTTTTGCTCTGGTGCTTGTCCTGGCGTCATCTTCCATCTGCCGCATTTCCCAGGTCTGACACCAGCTTGTACTGTGACGACACAGACATCCGATTCAGCAAAACGATGAATTCCTGCAAGGTCCTGCAGATCCGCTATGCAAGTGTGGAGCGGCTCTTGGAGAGACTGACTGACTTGCGGTTTCTCAGCATAGACTTTCTCAACACCTTCCTGCACTCCTACCGCGTGTTCACCACGGCGATGATTGTCTTGGACAAACTGATCACCATCTACAAGAAGCCAATAAGCGCGATCCCCGCAAGGTGATTTGCAGTTCTGCCCTCTTTCCTGTCGGGTTGGAGGGGAAGAGTGACCAGAAGGCGTTCTTCGGGTGCCCGTGGCCTGGGCAGTGGAGGGCTTTGTATGTTACACCAGCACTTTCAGCGGAGCCTGGAAACGGGACCGTAGCCAGGATAGCGATCCGTAGCTTCTTTGTCTCGTGGAGCCAGCTGGCAGCCAGCTGCTGTACTTTGCACTAATGGAAAGTTCCCCAAAGTTTCCCCTGAAGGCTTCCCAGGGCTCTGTGTGCTAAGACAGACTCGTGCCCATTGCAGGGATAGCAGGGCCAGTCTCTAGGATCCCCCCAAGGTGACAAGAGGCACCCCCCTTACAGGTTGCTTGGGCTTACATTGACCAAAGGCAGGCTAGAGCTGCTGACTTCTTGCCCTGCCACATGAGAGCCAGGGTGGTTCAGCGGTCAAGAGCATGGGCCTGGGACGCAGGCGACCCGGGTTCCAGGCCCTGCTCAGCCCCGGAGCTCCCTGGGTGACTTTGGGCCAGTCACAGACTCTCAGCCCAGCCTACCTCGTAGGGTTGTTGTTGTGAGGAGAAGATTGAGAGGAGAATGATGAAGGCGCAATGAGTTCCTCGGAAGGCATAACCAGAACAGACAGACAAACAGCCCACAATTCAACAGCTCCTCTGCCAGGCCTGAACTGAGCTGCAGTGAGCTGGTCCCCTTCAGGCCATCGCTGATCCCAAGCTCTTGTCCGACTGCACAGAGGCCGGCTGGGTTTCAGCCCTATCGTAATTGCCCACTTCGCCCGCACTCCCCGAGTGGCCTTGCCCAGAAGTTTGACACAGATATTTGAAAGCATGCCAGGGAGGCCTCAGCCCACTGGGCCCCTGTGCAAGCGCCCTCCGGCCAGTCAGGCATGCCCAGATCCCCATTTCCTGCTCTCAACACTCTTCGCCATCTTCTCATACGTGCAACGTTGTCCGATGGACAAGTGCGCAAGATCGTTCTCTGCTTCTCCTGAAAGCAAGACCCTCACAAACAGGTTCAGAGCAAAACAGGGAGAGTCCAGTCGGCAGGAAGCCCTTCTCGTGAAACAGGCGGCTGGTGGTAGCGCAGACGGCCTCAGAAGGGGGAGGATTCTTTGCTAGAGCTTTCTTGCAGATCTGGGGCAGCAGATTTGTTGCCTCGGCAGTGTGGGGTGGGACCCAGAGCCTCAGGGAGGCTTTCCCATTGGGGAGCCCTTCAAACGTGGTTCTGCCCCACTCAGACAGCTTACCCAGAAGGAGATTGCAATGTTAACCCCCGGAGTCCCTCCCAACCCCTAAGTACACTGAAAGCAGCATTGTCTTGTCTGAAATTGTGCTGGGGCTGTTGGACTGCCTGAGGATGAGGCAGAAATGGGAGAGGAGATGCTTTAAGTGGCTTTGTTCTCGCGAAGGTCCCTGGAGCTCTTGTTCGCGAGCAGCCAGAACGCCAAGCTCCTCTATGGAGAGCCTCCAAAATCTCCACGTGCCAACCGGAAGTTTTCTTCTCCACCTCCCCTCTCCATCACCAAGTCATCATCTCCGAGCCGGAGGAGGAAGCTGTCCTTGAACATTCCCATTATCACAGGTGGAAAGGCCCTGGACCTAGCCGCCCTGAGCTGCTCCTCCAATGGCTATGCAAGCATGCACTCCTCCATGTCTCCCTTCAGCAAGGCCACTCTGGACATCAGCAAGCTCTACGTGTCCAGCAACTACTCCAGCAAGATCTCCGACGAGGGGGAGGGTGGCCCCGAGAAGCTGGACGATGCGCTTCTGAGCAAGCCAAGTAAGTTCCTTTGGCCGTGCCGAAGCGGCTCCAAGCAGAGGGGATGCGGAACAGACGTGCGTCCCTGGGCACCACGAGGCCCCGCCCGGGTGTCTCGCCATGCCCCGGCCCGTTGGAAGCCCCTGGCCCATTTCCTGGGCAACAGAGCTGGCCGGAACGGGTGCCACCCACACCCTCACTGGCTGGCTGATGGCTCCTGGCCTCCTCCTGCGAGAGGGTCGTTTTTGCTTGCAGGGTGCAAACCACGGGGCGGCAAGTTAACACTGTGGCCTCTGGAGGGCTGGGGCCGTCCCGCTGGAAAGGCCCACCCGGGGCTCTGCTCCGGGGTGTCTGTGAGCGTGCCTTGAGCCTGCCGCCTGGTCCCAGCAGGTGCGGAGGGGCCTGTGAGGGAGGAGCCAGACGTCGACCCCAACCAGAGCGATGAGGCAGAAGCAGAGGCTTCCCCCACCAAATCCCCGACGACGCCTAAGCTGGCGAAAGGCAAGAACACTGCAGGTACGGTGGGCCGGAAGTGGATGCCCGGCAAGGGAAGCAGCTCTGAGCCTCAGCCTGCCCAGTCCAAGGGATTCTAGGTGGGATGTGGGAGGAAGAGGGCACGAGCACCCAGGGAAAGATGCTGGCCAGTGCAGGAGGCCTCGCTGCCCCAGCCGAAGGTGCGGACGCGTGGCTGTGTGGGCACGATGCCCGGGCGCCCACCTTCTCACGCCAGAATCCCCCAGGAAGATGAGAGAACGTGATGCTGTGAGCATCAGGGAAATGGCAGGGACTGCGGGGTCCGCCTCTCCGGGAAGGGTGGTTTGGAGGCAGTGCTGCTTGGTGCACCAAGACCGCCTTATGCCAACATGTGAAGCCGAGTGATTTCCTTGCTGGCATCTTTCTTATCCGGGGCAACATTCTTCCGTGGACAGAGAGGGTTACTGCTGGCGCTTGCCTGAGCGCCCTGCAGCTGCCGAACGTGGGGCTCAGTCTGGCGCGTCTGCCCAGCCCCGAGGTCTCCACAGCCCCGTGGGCCCCACAGGGTGATTGGGGAGAGGCACGGGGGGGGGGGCAGGGGCTCATGGCAAGCAGAGGCTCGAAGGGAGCCACGCCTTCCACAGAAGTGCTGCAGGTGACCACACGAGGCCCCTGAGGCCCCTGAGCACGGGGGTGTCAGCCCTGCCTGGCCCAGAATGCTGGGGCCGTTCTTGAGAGGGGCCCTGAAACCACAGAGGTGCCCGAAGAAGGGAGGGCCATGCTCATGGGCGACCGCAGTTCTCCTGCACTGCCTGGATAATGCATGCGTGTTGGGGTCACAGCAAAGATGCCAACGCTTGCGCTGCCCTAAACAACGGTGCCCCGGTGAGGATCCTGGAACCGCAGGGGGCTGGTCCTGAACTTACCCTAGTAGGGCTCCACAGCCCAAAGGTGAGACCTCCCAGGTCTCTTGCAAGCAGCTGGGGGCTGCAGGTCAGCAGTGTGGGATCGGATGGACCTCGGTCGGCCCCGGCAGGGCTGCTTCTCCGTCCTTACAGTCTCAGATCAGCTGGCATGGCTGAGCTTCTGCGAATGAGAGGCCCCTGTTCAGAGCGTGGATGTGCATCGTGGGCAGTGGCCTATTTACACAAGCACGCTGCAGCGACCAGGTGACAGCGGCACGACTCCTGCATAATCAGGTCTTCCGGGCTATGCGACATTCCCAGGCAGGACATCGGAGCCCGCAGCAGGCTCCTCAGGAATCCCCTGCACTTGATGAACTGCTCCATGACCAGTGTCAGTCCTCCGGGACATCATTCGAAAGTGCCACATTGGTGCTTCTGGACAGACTGCTAAACAGCCAGTCCAGCTGCGCATGTCCAAGGAAGAATTTGGCATGGCATGTCTGTGACGGAAGACGCCCATTGGAATTGTTTGAGCGAGAGGGTGCCACGCCTCCCTCTTCTCTTTCTGATGCAGAATTCCCCCTGTTCTCATATAACAATGGCGTGGTCATGACATCTTGCCGGGAGCTGGACACCGGCCGCAGTGCTCTTTCCGCTGCCTCGGCATTTGCTATCGCCACGGCCGGAGCCAACGAAGGCACGCCGGCAAAAGAGAAGTACCGAAGGATGTCGCTAGCAAGCGCAGGTGAGCAAATAGGAGGCGTTCCTCTTGCGGGGGGCGTCCCCGGGCTTTCCCTGGGGCCGTGGGACCTTTGGGGAAGCAATGGGGATGGCTTGGAGGAGAGAGCAGTCAACAGGGCCATGCAAAAACTGAAGGCATTTACAAATAGCTGGACTGCTCAGGAAACGCAGGGGTGCAACTGAACGAGCAAGAGGCGGGCTATTCTAGCCCGAAGGCAGGAGTAGCGCTGGCTTTCGGAATCCAACGAGGTGCCCCTGGCAGCCCCACGGGTGCGTGTCTGAGAGCCCCGCGGACAAGGCTTCCCGGACTGCGTGGCCGCTGAGGGGCTCTGAGGTCACGAGGCCTCCGCGGTGCCGCTCGCTCTCCACCCAGGCTTCCCCGCTGACCAAAGGAATGGTGACAAGGAGTTTGTGATCCGGAGGGCCGCGACCAACAGGGTGCTCAACGTCCTGCGGCACTGGGTCTCCAAGCACTCCCAGGTACGGCATGTCTTTCCCGTCGCTCGCTCACAGAATTTATGTACTGCTCTGTATCTACCTAAAAAGATTCCTGGTCAGCGGGCAATTTTTAGAAAGGAAGGGAAGAAATGAAAATGCAGAATTAAACAAACAGAGCTCAGGTTACGCTCGTTAAAGCGCCCCGTCAATCAGGGCAGGCTTCTGCAATGAAAATGCTTTGCAGTGCCAAAAGCCAAACCGAACCATGGCTGCCACTGCATGGCTTTGTGGTTTGGAGCTTTGCATCCTTGTGCGGTCAGGGCCCTGAAGCAGAAGTGAGCTTCCAGTTCCCTATTCACATGGAAGTTCCTAACAGTTCTCAGTAAGAATGAGGAATCAAAGCTGCAAAACTTCTGCATTCTCAAATAATGCTTGGTGCACTTAGTATGCTGGAGGGGGACAGCGGCCCCTTCAAGCTGCGCGCGCCGAACAATCAAAAAGGTTATTTTTGCATGGATGGCAGTTACAATTGAGGAGCTGGCCACATGCGTGCAAATTCAGCAAGCTAAGCACCTGCACCTCCAGGAGTGCCAGTCTGGGAGGATATTGAACCACAATTTGCTGGCATTGACTTTACTAAATTTATGGTGAGGTTTTTCTTTTCCACGTGTTTGCTGAAGGTCCTGACAGGGTCTTGCACTCGCAGGGAGCACTGGGCTGAACGCCACGCTCTGCTGTCTCATGCAAATTATCTGGACACGGGGGACTATGATTTGGGATGGCCTAAATCTTAATTTGGGGTGCAGTTTCTTGTAGATACTTGTCACTTTCTTGCTGATAATTGTCCTCAAGGATTATCACAGATAAATGCACTGTGCAATGTTCTGTGGCTCTTGAGGGGCCTGCCATGCTGTTCTGCAGGGCGTGGGGGCAGGGGCCAATCATGTCCCGTGCACAGAGCGTGGCAGCTGCTGGGGGGCTTGGACGAGCAATGCAGTGTGCAGACCTTCCTCCACCCCCTCTCGTCATCTCAGCCTTCTGCTACTGGCTGACGCCGACGCTGGGTGGCCTGAGGAGGGCAAGAGCCGCTCCCGAAGGGCCAGCCCTGCAAAGGGAGCTCCCCCAAGGCCTGCCGGCCAATCAGCCAGCCTGCTGTGGGGGGCAATCAGCCTCCATTTGCTGTGGTGATTCCACAGGATGACCTGCCAGCCCAAACTGGGGTGGCAACAACCCCAAGTGCCTGATTGGCGCCTGCTGAGCGTTGAACCAGTGGTGACTCTCCCCTTCTGCAGGGCTGGAGGACTCTGAAGAGGATCTGTCCTCAGAAGGATGGGTGGATGGATCCAGGTTGCCTCCAGAGGCCTCTGGGGGCGTCTGGCTTAGATGGCTGGTCATCCTGGCCAGTCCTGGTCCGTCTCTGGAACACCGAGACGACCCCGGCAGCTGAGGCCATCACTCCAGAGCACCCTTCCCATCGCAGAGCTTGTGTGGCTCCGTGGCACAAGCCAGGGACAAGCTGACCTCCCCCAATCCCAGAAACAGCCCCTGCCCAGTCCTCCATCACCCAGCAAGCAGGTGCCCCTTACGGCTGGCATAGAGGAATTATGGGACAGGCCAAAAGAACGAGGTTGCCTCTTTGATACGTCCAAGTCAGTCCCCAGTGCATGAAAGCGTTAATAAATATGCTCCAGACAGCTGAGCACTTCTTTGGCAGGATTTTGAAACCAACGATGAACTGAAATGCAAAGTGATTGGCTTTCTGGAGGAAGTGATCCACGACCCGGAGCTTCTGACTCAGGAGAGGAAAGCAGCGGCCAACATCACAAGGCGAGTTGCTGTGTGCACCTCGCAGAAGGACCGAATTTGGCCCTGGGCCACCTGCTACCACCAGTGCCACAGGACCATGGGGCAACAGGAAGTAACAGCACTCTGCACACGCACCCATGCCCCCTCCTCAGGGCCATGGACTAACATCCCGTCCCATTCTGTTTCAAGCAGGACTGGGGTTGGTCCAAGTGATTCTCCCTCAGCCCCGAGCCCATAGCAGTGGACTCGTCTGAGCCGTGGAATTGGGCGGGATCCCTTCCTAGGTGTTCTGACAGCGAGCAGAGGGAGGGGCTGCTGCCAAAACGCCCCTGGCTGCAGACCCTCCCAGAAGCAAGTTCCATGCAGGCGCAGCGCCCGTGTTTGTGCATCATCACCATCACCACCATCTTCGTCATTTATTTCATTTCCATACTGCCCATCGCTGAAATTCTCTGGGCGGTTCACAACAAAATGCGGATTGATTGATTGATTGATTGATTGATTTAAACAACTTATATGCCACCCCATCGCATGAGCCTTGGGGCGGCTTACAATCATTAAAATCCCATATAAAATACAAAAAAAAATCATCAAATAAATAAAATACAAAAAATAAAATAAAATAAATGAAATGAAATAGTGGATCCAGCCTGGTCAATTTAAACCAACAAATAAACCATTAACAGTTAAAATAATGGTTAAATAAAAAGGTCTTGGCCTGGCGCCGAAAAACAAATAAGGACGGCGCCAGGCGGACCTCTCTGGGGAGCGCGTTCTGTAGGTTGGGCGCCACGGCAGAGAAGGCCCTCCTCCGGGTACTCGCCCTCCGATCTCAGGGGGCGGGAGGGTACATATGGACGCAGAGGGCCCCGTTTCCATCCCAGTCAAGAGAACCATCGCCTCGAATGCCAAGCACAAACATTTTACTTTGCAGCCCAAAACTGCTCTTTTGTTTTGCTTCCCAGAACCTTGACGCAGGAGGACCCGGGAGACAATCAGATCACCCTGGAAGAGATTGTGCAAATGGTAACGCTTCTCCACGCAACCGCGGTACCTCCTCGAGTGGCGCTCCGTTCAGGGCTTGTGTTTACTCACGCTGTTTCCGGGCAGCCTTGCTGCCTGGTTGTCTCTGCAGCAAGTGCTTCACAGGGCGGAACAGGAGACGATCCCGTTTTGTCCATGTGGCTTTGGGGATTTTCCAAATAACTCTGCGGCAACCAGGAGAATAGCAGCTTCAGGGACTAGTGAAGGGGAGGCAAAGGCCTCAAGAGCCCCCTGACCAGCACAGAAGGCCACCCCAGGAGGGTCCCTCTCAGATGTTGGGCCCTGCCTGCAGGGAGCCAAGCCGGGGAGGGGTAGCCCAGCCCCGCGGGCCCAGGGGCCTTCAGAGCCCCGCAGGGCCCAGCACGCAGCCCGCTTGCTGCGGGGGGGGGGGGGGCCCTGCGAGGGCGAGAAGTCCAAGGTGCTTTTCCTTTGCGCCAGAGGGCGAGTGGGTGGCCTGGCGAGCTGAGCAGGAGCACGGAGGGGGCGCCGTCCAGACGGGGCTGGGGGCAGCCCGGTTCTGGCATGAGGTGGCTTCTTTCTGCAAGCCCTTCGCCACCCTCGCAGCAGAGAACTCACCCAGTCTGTGAGAGGAACGGTGCCTGCACTGCCTCCTCGGAAACCTGCCCCTGCTGCTTACCTGTCTGGGGCCACCTGCTTGAGCTCTGCCTCACCAGGTGCCCCACCTGCAGGCTGAGCTGAGGGGGCGTCTGTAAGCGCGGCCATGCCGTAGTGCGCATGGACACTTCCCCGTGCGAGGATGGGGCTTCCTTCTGGGCTGGGCCTTTGCTCCCCGGCACACACGTGCTCCGAGGGAGGGGCTCTTTCAGCTCACCCCCTTTTGGGAGAAGACACTCCCGGCAGGCGCGGCCTTCCCTTTCCCCTCCAGGCAGCAGGAACCAAGCCCGAAGCCTTCGAGAACCACTCTGCGCTGGAAATTGCTGAGCAGCTCACCTTGCTGGATCACCTGGTCTTCAAAAAGATCCCTTATGAGTGAGTCTTGCCCGCTTCTTCACCTGCCAGGACGCTTGGCAAAGGCCGTGCTGGGCGCCTGATGCAGCTGGACTGGGCCAAAGGAGAGGGGCAGCGCCGCAGTCCTGGGGAGTCAAATCTGCCCCCTGGAGTGCCCTCCAGCAGGCCCCGTCCCCTTTCCTCCCACTGCCAACGGCTTCCTGCCTTTCCCCCCACCTTAAATGGGTGCAAGACTGTTCCCAGGCTCTCGCTGCGGCTGTGAGAGGTACATGCCACAGCATCCCGGTGGTGGGGGCTCTGCTGTTTCTGCGAGCCTGTGTGAGCCTCCCCCTGCTGCTTCCAGGGAGGGCCCTTTTGCCCCGAGAGCTTTCCTTCTAGAGCTCGGCCCTCAGGCCGAAAGAGGTGCGGTGGCCTGGGCGAAGAGGGTGAGGACCGGTCGGCGTGCCGCTCTCGCTGCAGCCCCCTCGCCGTTGCGGGTCTCAGACTGACCTGCTCCTGATAGCTTCTCCATGCGCACCGCCCCCATTGGGCCCCCTGCCAGCATCTTCCGGTGTGGGTTGTGGGAATGGGGCACCCTGCGCTCCCGCCACACCAGGCCCCTGCCAAAGCAGAGGCCTGCCCGGCCCTCGTGAGAGGCCGCCTCCCCCAGGGTTGAATGTGGAGGGCCGCCCGGGAATCCCTGGAGGGTTTGTGGAGGAGGCAGCACTGAGCCTGACGTGCCTTGCTTGCAGAGAGTTTTTCGGGCAAGGATGGATGAAGCTGGAAAAGAATGAGAGGACTCCCTACATCATGAAGAACACCAAGCACTTCAACGACGTGAGTTGGCTGTGGAGGCCCAGGCTGGCTTTGCGCGAGGGAGCCGGGCCAGAGCGCTTTCTTCTTTCTGGGCATTCAACCAGACACTTTGGGCACGACTCCGAAGGGCCTCCTCGAAATGAAGAGCCAAGGTTTTGACGCTTACTGGCAAAAGCCCTTCTGGCCAAAGTGCTCTGCGACAGGGTGGCCCATCATGGCCCCCTCCACACCCCCAGTGTGGCATTGCAGGGCTGCGAGAGGCCCCGCAGGGGGCAGCAACGGTTGCCCGACCAGAGCCAGCCTCCCCCCGGGAAAGGAGCCTGCAGGCCACTGGAAGGGCTTCTGCCCCCTGGCCCCATGTGTGCGGAACCCTGGCGGGGGGATCTGTGGAGGGGGCTGTAGTGGCCCCATGGCGAGGTCCGGAGGGTGAGCTGTGCTTCCCTGGCTTACTCACGGGTGCGCACTTGGCGCCTCGGGGCTGCAAAGGGCCTGGGAGGTCCCTCGCAGCATCCTCAGAACTGGTGGCGCTGCTGAGCGCTCGGCCAGCTCCCGAGCCAGAAGCCTGCTGGGGCTCCTGGCAGAAGACTCCGGTGTCACCAGTGCCCATCAGCCAGGGGAGCTCCTGAAGAGCCGGGGAGCTGATGTGGACACACCCAAACCGAAGGGTGGTTGGGGAATAGGGCAGCAGCCCGCCGGGCCTGGGTCCCGGGGCTCACCCGCAGCTCCACCCGGGAAGGGGTGCCCATGCTCCCCAGGCTGGCAAGGCACTGAGGGGCTTCGCCCTCCGGCTCCCCTCGGGGACCCGGCTCAGCTGCCCGCAGGCCACTCCCATGCCTGCTGGGTCGTGCTCCCTCTGCCCCTGCAGATCAGCAACCTGATAGCCTCCGAAATCCTCCGCAATGAGGACATCGCCGCACGGGCGAGCGCCATCGAGAAGTGGGTGGCCGTGGCCGACATATGCCGGTGCCTGCACAACTACAACGCCGTGCTGGAGATTTCCTCGGCCTTCAACCGCAGCGCCATCTTCCGCCTGAAGAAAACCTGGATGAAGGTGTCAAAGCAGGTGGGTGCTCCGGGAACAGGCCCGGCTGTGCCTCGCCGTGGCTGCGCTTTGAGGAGGTCAGGCTACGATGTTTGGCAGCGGTATTTCCCATGCGCTTGTCTTCCTGGATGGCTGAGTCTTCACTCATGTTAGTCGCTCGTTCAAAGAGTGGCTCAGGGTGGATCCTCGACAAACCACGGCAGACGGGCTGCTTTTCGACTTATTGCGCAGCTGATCAGCTAAATTACCTGCCCGCACCCTGATTACCAGTGGCTCCTCAACACATCCAGAAGCGAACTCTTCTTGCCTTTTGCCTTCTGCCAATGAAAGCGCCTCTCCTTCAAATGCCCCTTACAGACAAAAGCGCTCATTGAGAAGCTGCAGCGGCTGGTGTCATCAGAGGGCCGCTTTAAGAACCTGAGGGAAGCCCTGAAAAAGTAAGTGCCTGGAGGCAGCAGCCCCTGCCCGGCGGGTGTTTGTATTTCGATGGCTGAAGGTGAGGCCCACGTGGCACTGGGGCATGTCAGGGGTCCCAGGGCATCTCCCGCACAGCTCGCTCTGGCCGTGGCCGAGCGTGCCAGGAACGGGGGGGGGGCATCTCCCCCTGCTCCAAGCTGCCTGGGCCGAAGGTGGCCTCCCTTCTGCTGGGCTGGAGTGAACCAGAGCAACACCAGGGCCTCGCTGGACACTCGAGGTACCTGCTTGCACCAGGTGCAGAGGCCGCCCGGGGTGCCAGGGGGCTGATGTGTTCTGCAGCTGTGGGGCTGACCTGCAAACGGAGCATCCTCCCACCTGACCGTCTGCAGACAGTGAGCTTTGCCCGCCGGGTTAGGGCAGGACCCAGGGACATCCAGGAGCTGCCTGGCAAGCTGTGGACAACCATGGGGGGGAGCGGCTCTCCAGCGCTGGTCCAGGCTGGGGCTTTCCGCAGGCAACGAGCCCGGCAAGGGCCCCCCAGACAGGGCTGGCCTGGGCCTCCCAAGCCACTGGGCAGAGGCAAGCCGCCGACTCTGGGGGTGGAGAGGGGAGTGTGAGGGGTGCCCATCTCGTCCTCGCCTCGGACAGCCGCACCTCTGGGCCCAACGGATGTTGCGACCCACCGTGGATGCCCCAGATGTTCCAGAAAGCTCTCAAAAGCAGGCCAAAGGCATTTCCCCTCCTGCACTTTCGGAACTGCCTCCTCCCCAAGATCCACCGGGCTGTTTCTCTTCCTCCTCCTCTCAGTTGTGACCCACCCTGCGTCCCTTACCTCGGGATGTATCTCACAGACCTGGCTTTCATCGAAGAGGGCACCCCCAACTACACGGAGGACGGCCTTGTGAATTTCTCCAAAATGAGGATGGTGAGCGCCCTCGCATGTCTCCCCCCGCCTCCGGCAGGAATCAGGGGAGCGCCGGCCAGAGCCAGAGGAGCTGCCCCGGGGGCCAATGCACACAGCCTTCCAGCGCCCGCCTCTCCCCCCAACCCTCCTGGCCTGCCACCATGCTGGGCGCTTTCCTCCCCAGGGCAAGCGCTGACCAATGCTCCCTTCCCTGCAGATTTCACACATCATCCGCGAGATCCGGCAGTTCCAGCAGACAGCCTACAAAATAGAGCACCAGGCAAAGGTGAGCTGGGGCCTCGGGCGGCCGCTGGGGAGCCAGCACAGCCTGGCATCCCCAAGGCGAAAGAAGGCCTGCAGCTCGATGGAGGCAGTGCGACCCGAGAGAAGCCACGCATTCCCACAGTTGCCTTGGCCTGGGGACATCTTGGGTGTCGCACCAGGTGGCTTGGGAGGGTCTTCCCAGCTTCAGCCTGCAGGCAAAGGGGGTGCTGGGCGCTCTGCGCACAGAACAGGGGGGGCAAGTGCTTCCCCTGCAACTGGGAACCAATGACACCCAAGCTCTCTGCCCCCTTGGCACGCGAGCAGAGCTGAGGGAGCCTGAGGAACGCGTCTTCCTGAGGACCCCTCTCCAGTGGGGGGTTGTTCTGGGGGAGCAACCCCCCTGCTCCCAGCGCCATCGGATTGCACCCCAGCATCCGGTTGGCCCTTTGCCAGGGGAGCAGAGCTGCAGAGCCCTCCAGCCACGGGCCCGGCTTCTCTCGCAGGTCACCCAGTACCTCCTGGACCAGTCGTTCGTGATGGACGAGGAGGGTCTGTATGAGGCCTCCCTGCAGATCGAGCCCAAGCTCCCCACCTGAGCTCCGAGCCCCCACCGCTGGACCCTGCGCAGCGCTCCGTGTATCATATTGTACATAGCAGCCGCCTGCCCTTTCGGGGGCCCCCGCTGACCTCCCGCTCTGCTGCTCCACGGAAGCCACCTCTGTTCCCGTTGCTCCTGCAACCCGGCGTCCGGAGGAGTCTGGCGTAGACCACGTTGTTGATTGTGGTCCTGGCTCTTTTCAGCAATGTTCTCTTTGTCGTCAGTTCTTTGTGGTGGGGGGGTGGAGGGGGTGGCCAGAAGTGGGCTTTTCCGTGCAGGCTTGTGCCAGATCACACAGGAAGGTTTCTTTGCTCTCCTCCACCCAGGAAGCCGCCGTTTTGTTCAGTTTTGCGTTTTGGGCATGATGTTCCATTTAGCCAGGGTAAACTGGGCACATGTGCACCCCCCCCCCCCCGCTCAGCCAGATCATTTAAAACTGCTGTTTCTTGACCGATTTGCCACTTTGCTCCTCTGAAGCAGAAAAGGCGCGACTGGAGGGGAGGGGAGCCTGCGCGCCACTGCGCTGAGCAGGTTCCCGAGAAGCTTGTGAGCTCACGAGGAGTGCGGGGGGGCCCTAGCCCGATTCGTGCTGCAGCTTCCTAGGGCGGCCCTTGACTGGCGTTCAGGAGCCGCTGCCTCGCCGCCAGCCAGGGGACCTCTGTGCCCCAGGTGCCCAGAGCCAAGGCGAGCCCCGTGACGCCAAGGTGAGGCGGCAGGGGCAGCCCTGGGACCAAGGCTTGTGCACCGCCCCCCGCCCCTGGTCACACAAGACCATGTGCAGGACAGCAGCCTGGTGCACGGTGCCCCGCAAAACCGGCGCGTGAGCCCGGCTGGGGATCCCGCTCAGGCCGCCTGTGCCGGGGCCGGTCGCTTTGGGCATGTCCCAGGGCAGCAGGGCCTCTTGGGCTGCTTCTGTGCGCGGCCGTCCGAGAGGGTGCCGCCAACTCGCTCTGTCTGTGGACACAGTGACGCTTCTTCGTAACAATTGCGTAGAATTAGAGGGGGGGTGGGGTTGATTGTGTTTTTATTACATATACTGTACTCCTGTCTAACCACTTGCTAGCAGGAATATAGTAATGTAGTGCTTATTCTGTGAATATTATCATGTATTTTTTACATTGTACAGTATACAAACCCAGGCGAACTTCTGAATGGCCGGCATGCTCTGCAGTGACTGAAAAGGGAAATCTTTTGCTGTAAGCAGTGCCCACTGGTATGAGGAGCCTATTTCAGTACCTAAAATATTTCAGCTCACAGCTTGTTTGGGAAAAGAAAATTTCAATTTTTGTAAAAAATATATGTTTCCTGATTACCTCTTGCTAATAAATCTATTCTATCTCAGGGTGAATTATGACTTTGCAAATGTGTTCACATGGAAGCTCTGGGCACTCCCTTGGCAGCACGGTGCACAGGTCCTCCCCCCGCCCCCACTGGACTGGGCTTCTCTGATGCTCGGCTCCTTTTTCCACCCCTTTCCAGCAGCTGATGTTCTCAAGAAGATGGGAAAGTGTGAGCCACCCCTTTTAACCGGAGTTGTGAATGCTTCTCCCTCCTCCTCCTCCTCCTCCGGGGAGGGCTCCCATGTGTCCCCACAGCCCCATGCATTAAAAATAGGGCAAAAGGGAGAACCACATGGAAACTTTCCCTGTGCCAGACGGACAATCAGGCACAGGGGTTTGTGTCCCTTCTGTGTGCCCCCCGGTCCTTGCCTCTGAGGAACAATCCCCTTGATTTACCAGGATTATTCTTTGGATTAAGACCCTCGGGTGACTAAAGGCTCCGTGGGAGCCAGGCCCCGGGGGAGTCATTAGGGGAGTCCTGCCGGGCCTGGCAGCTTGATGAAGTGGCCCTGATGAAGTGGCCCTGAGGGGCCCAAGCCTGGCAGCTGGGTCAGAGGGTGCCGGCAAAGCGCCACGATCGGGCTGCCCAGCAGCAACCCTTGTGGGCAGGGGCTTCTGGCGGAGGCTGCTGCTGCTGCTCAGCCCCTGGCGGTCCCTGGAACAAGGCCAGGAGTCCACCCGGCCGGGCCGGCGTGATCCTTGGACCCAGTCTGACCCCCGGAGGTCTGGTGTTGGACTGCCCCGTTCCTGGTCTGACAATCGGGCGCATCGGACCTGCTTTTGGTTTCTCTTTTGCGGCACCCAGACGGGGCCTTCAACCCTCGCTCGCTGCTTTGCTAAGCGCACTCGCCCCTCGCTCGCGGTACAGCTGCCCCCCCCCCCC